ATATATTATAATTACCTAGATATACTAATTTTCATACTGTTTTTAGATCCACTGATGATGACATTAAATTGAATGTCGAAACGTTTGGAAATAAAGATTATTTTATAAATCTTTGGCTTTTCTTTGTTTGATGTATCGCCCTCAAGAACTCACTCATATATATATATATATATATATATATATATATATATATATATATATATATATATATATATATATATATATCAAATGTATTCTGAGTGGATAATAGATATTAATTTGGAAATATGAACAAACAACACTCTTCTTGCACTAATTTATTAAATAATAATTTTCACAAACGTTTCGAGACTAGGTTTGTCTCATCATCAGTGTGTTCACACATCAACACACTGATGATGAGACAAACCTAGTCTCGAAACGTTTGTGAAAATTATTATTTAATAAATTAGTGCAAGAAGAGTGTTGTTTGTTCATATTTCCAAATTAATATATATATATATATATATATATATATATATATATATATATATACACAGTAGAATCCGCTTAGTATGACATCGAAGGGACGCCGAAATCTCGTCATACTAACCGATCGTCATTAAAAGCGTACTGAAGAAAAACTTTTTAATATGCAAATATGTTACATGTTTCAGTAATTTAAAAGAAAAGCCTATACAAACGTTTTAATTAAAATTTAATATAAAATAAAATTGACATAGGGTAGGGCGGGGCACAACGGTCCAATTTGACTTACGGTAATTTTACTGTCTAAACCCAATGAACAACACATAACATACATAAAAGTAGCATCTATCGAACTATGTTCAGAAAAACTTACATACATACGTACATAATTCCTAATTATATAGATATTATATTTTTTATTATTTTTTAAACATTTGATATCTGACCCATTTACCTCACATAGGGGGTAAAGTAGAACAACCAGGGGGCGAACAGATGCAATTTCTTTCATTAAATTTTAAAGGCATTTTACGCTGTACATTTGTTAAAAGGACAACACAGTACATTACATTGATCTGCTATTAGACAGAAATATTTATCAGAAGAGCCGGAATAACAATTTATTCAATTAATCTCTTGTAAAATTGCTTTTTTTTTAAACTTTACTATTTTATTGCTTACACGCTTACACCTTTGCCAAAGTAAAGGTTCAGCTGGTCCTTTTTATCGTAGTCATGTGCTGCTTATCTTCTGATAGCAAAGTCATAAGAATAAAGGTGATGGCTGGTTATGAATTTATACATTTTTCGCCCTCTACTATCAAATATAATTGTTAAAAAAAAATCTAATTTTATTTGTTTTTGAGATATCCGTGGTGGACCATTAATAATTGGTCTACCCTACCCATAAACATACAAATGTGATTTTTTAATGTAAGTAATCAGTAATTTTTGATTGATTTCTTTACATAATTTTATTGTAAAAACAGTTCCTGGTGCTATTGTGCACAAAAGACATAGCAATTGCTTTCGTAGACTTGGCCGCATCATGTAAAATCTTGTCGGTCATTATAATTGGACATATTTTTTTGCAAAAATGAGACATTATAAGCGACATGTCAATGTAAGCGAGGTCAATATATCCGACTAGACAGCTGTTTTTTTAAGGAATTTTATATGGAAACCAAATTCCCAGTGCGATTACGTCATATTAAGCGGTTGTCAATATATCCGGCGTCATACTAATCGGATTCTACTGTATATGTGTTTGTACATGTATGTGTATATATATATATATATATATATATATATATATATATATTAGGGGTGGTCAATTTAAAAGACGCATAGGCTCATCTGATTTTTAGGTAATAGGGATCAAAATAAGATACTTTGCCAAAGAAACCATATCTCTAAAATGAATTCTGATGTCTCATGCATTAACCCAAAGATAAAAAATTGAATTTTGAAAAATTCCGTTTTGGCCCATTTATAGTGCCTCAATCGCGTCCAAATGTATGATCGACCCAATCCATCCGTGCCCATCATCCCCTTGGGACCTCCCCATAGAGGTCTGCCATACAAAAGTTGCAAAAAATCATCATCAATCAATCATTTTTGGTATTTACTCAGCAAAAAAATCTTTTTATTTAAACCAATTTTTTTCAGATATTAATTCATACACACACAATAAACTTTTTCACAAAAAAAATTATTAATTTTTTTTTGTTTAAATTTTTCCAATGCATTTTTCTCTGCGTTTCTATGCTAGCTAGAGGCAGTTATGGCGCCGACAGAGAGCCGTGCGAAATTTTCTAGACTTGAAACAAAAAAAGACTTCAAGCAATAATGTATAAGTTTAACAAAGTTTTACTTAGATATGTTATGATTAAATAAAAATTATAATAAAAACAAATCGCTGATTTTTATCATGTAAAGTACCAAAAATAATGCAAGTTTTGTATAGTTTAAGGAAAGGTCCCAGGGGGTGTACCATGGGCATTGGTGATCGGCCTTCCAAAGTAGTGGGAGTCGGTCATACATTTGAATACTATTGGAGCACAGGATTTTTCAAAATTTGACCCAATCTTTGGGCCAATGCACGAAACATCAGAATTCATTTTATAAATATGGTTTCTTCGGCAAAGTATCTTTCGATCCCTAGCATGCAAAAATCATATGTGCCTAGTGACTTCTTTTACCCATACAAATGGACCGCCCTAATATATATATATATATATATATATATATATATATATATATATATATATATATATATATATATATATATAAGGTTGTCAAATATCTCCCTTCCGCCTTTTTGTCTTTTGAATTTCGCGGCTATGTACAAAGCGCTACAGAGCTCGTATCTGGCAATACTATACATAATTTGAAAGGTCTTGACATAACCTACAAAACGACGCTATGCATGATTAGCGTTCAACAGTTATAGACGTGTAAACATGGAGTTCACTAACGCCGAAATTCGCGCTATTTTAAAGTTTTCCTTCGTTAAAGGCAAATCCGCTAGAGAAACGTTCCGTGAGATTAATGGTGTTTTGGGGGATGGTACTCTATAACTTCGAACCGCGGAGGAATGGTTTCGACGATTCAGAGCCGGTGAAAACGACACCATAGATAAGCCAGCCGGCGGAAGACCTGTGACGACAAATACCGATCAAATCATGGAAAACATCGAGTTAGACCGGCATGTGGCATCTCGTGACATCGCCCAGGAGATGGGAGTTAGTCACCAATCCATTTTAAACCATCTGCAGAAGACTGGATACAAAAAAAAGCTTGATGTTTGGGTGCCGCATGATTTGACGCAAAAAAACCTCCTGGATCGAATCAACGCCTGCGATATGCTCATGAAACGGAACGAACTCGACCCATTCTTGAAGCGGATGGTGACTGACGACGAAAAATGGATCACATACGACAATATCAAGCGAAAACGGTCGTGGTCGAAGGTCGGTGAATCGTCCCAAACAGTGGCCAAGCCGGGATTGACGGCCAGGAAGGTTTTGCTGTGTGTTTGGTGGGATTGGAAGGGAATCATCCACTATGAGCTGCTCCCATATGGCCAGACGCTTAATTCTACCATCTACTGCGAACAACTGGACCGCTTGAAGCAGGCGATCGACCAGAAGCGTCCAGAATTGGCCAACAGGAAGGGTGTAGTGTTCCACCAGGACAACGCCAGACCACACACTTCGTTGATGGCTCGTCAGAAGCTACGGGAGCTCGGATGGGAGGTTTTATCGCATCCACCATATAGCCCGGACATAGCGCCAAGTGATTACCACCTGTTCCTGTCCATGGCGAATGCCCTTGGTGGCGTAAAGTTGAACTCAAAAGAGGCTTGTCAAAAGTGGCTGTCCGAGTTCTTCGCAAATAAGGAGGGGGGCTTCTACGAGGGAGGTATTATGAAGTTGCCGTCTAGATGGAAACAGATTATCGAACAAAACGGCGCATATTTGAACTAAATCCGATCACTGTAACACTTTTTATAAAGCATTGAATAAAGAGCAAAAAAGCGGAAGGGAGATATTTGACAACCTTATATATATGTATATATATATATATATATGTTAAAGAAGTTAGTTTTGATGTTGAGAAATATGAGTAAGTTCTTCAAGGGCAATACATGAAATAAAGGCAAAGGATTAGAAGTTAATCTCCGAGGCGAGAATATTCTCTAGATTCTCGCCTCGGAGATATACGCGTAACTACTTTTTCCGTGCAAAATATATTATATTTCACAAATACGTTGGTATGCTATTTCAACTAAAAAAAAAAACAAGTTAGTGTATATATGATAGTGCGAAATTATGTGCCTTGCGCTAGTTACTGATGTAAGACCATATTTATATCCATTGATGATGACATAAAATCCTATGTCGAAATGTTTGGAAAAAATTAAAGATTAACTTCTAAATCTTTCATAAAAAATTTCATAAAAAATGACAAGATCTCATCGCTTTTTAAATTTCCCGTAAAATTTGAACACATGCTAAAAACTGCTTTAAGAAAAAATGTGACATTTCTATCTTAAACTCCGAAAAGTAAATACAAAGTTTTGACAACTTGTTAAGTTATCATGGTTATTAGTGTGTTTTACCATTTGTGATGTTAAAAAATATATATTTTATCAATGTGCACATACTCATACCATGGATTAATAATGGTTTCATATGCTGTATTAGGATACAAAATTGTATGTGTTTTATTATTATTATTATTGTTTTTCTATGAAATTTCTTACATATTTATTTAGTTTTAATTTTTATAGTTAACTTGATTACCACTGAATGATGGCTAAGATGCTAGCCGAAACGTATGGATTTTAAATAAACTTTTAATAAAACTTTCATACTATTTTTATTGATGTAACGCCCAAATTTTAAACTTAAATTAAACATATACATCAATATCAAATTCAAGACTATTCAAATATATATATATATATATATATATATATATATATATATATATACACCATACATATAAAAAGAGCTAGATTATCAAAACCCAAGACTAAGAAGTGCAAACCTTTAAAATTATTATTTCTTGTCCCAAAATTTCCTCATCAGTACATGCAGTGTCTGTAACATAGGCAAACTCAGATATCTTTGGAGGATAAATCTCTTCAATTTTGGCAGCAATAAACAAACAAGTAATTCCTATTAATTGCAATTGACTTTTTAATACTTTTCTAGGTCCAGATAAATATCTGTCAATATAATCTACAGCTAAATAGTAAGTTTCCCTATGAAGTTTATAAACATCACAAACTTCAATAAGCCAATCAAAGAGAATGGCCCTCATTCTTGGTTGAATCCCTGGATGGGAGTCAAACATATCAGGATTTCTTTCATTTTTGCTTTGTTGGTCTTTCATGCACATTGCTTGCCAAACTTCCTCCGACTCTGCCCAGGTAAAAACAGGTAGTGGTGTTTCAACCGTGCATCGTTCGTTACCGCATGGAATCGGAAGAAATCTAGTAATTGTGCAAATTATTTTATAGGCATATTTCAAAATAAAATATAAACTCTTACGAGAATTGTTACTCAAACAATTATGCAATACTTACTTTTCCCATAAAACATTTCGTTTATGGTCGTTTAGCATCACATTTCCTTTAGTATTTCTGGCAAACAAGGAAAAGACATTTGGTGGACTTTCAAGAGAGGAAATCTCATATATTGATAGAGGACTTCGAGAATGTTCTGAAGATGATGTTTCAAGCGAATCATCAGCATATATATGAATTTGTTTGAAGGGCTGAACATTTTCAGTATCCTATAAAAAGCAAACATTTTAAACGCAGTAAAAACAAATTTCAGTATCAATTATATATATATATATATACGTTTAATTGATATTTTCTGGATTTTTTTTTAATAAATTGATAAGCGTTTCTTTTCCGAACAATTAATCCAATAAATAAAAAACAATAAGTTTTTTTGTACATGTTTAATTACGACGTTTCGGAACTAGGTACGTTCCATCGTCAGGTTCTTCTGTCAATAACACTATTTACATGAAGAATAACAATATTAACACTAAACCAACCGACAATTCGTGTATACCCATTACCCTGCGCGCGGTCAAAATGACCTGCAATTAAAAAGTTATCAACTTTAATATTTAAATCAGATAGTGATTGATTGATTGTTTAATGTTTATAACATTTAAAAAAAAATCATGAAGTTTCATCTAAATTTATTTTTATATAATTTCTAAAAAAAAATAAAAAAACAAAAAAAACAACTTGATTTTCTTGAGATTTTGAATATGCATCGTCAAATTAAAAAATCAAATAAAACACAAATTCGTGCCTAAAAATGGTTTCATTCGTCGCCTCTCTATAAACCTTTAAAGCATTCATCCAGCTAGGATCAAAATGTTGAAATATTTCTATAGTCGTCGCCTACAAATTTTTGACTCCATGTTACAGTTCTTGGTCTGCCATATTTTCACCGAACTATGTACTAATACAAAATCTAATAGTTTTCGGTACACTTTTGCTGCTTTCTCCTATTTCTATTGGGACAAGCATTTTCGTTTATTTTTATACACTGTGGGAGTTATGAAATTTGATTTATACACTTTTTGCAAAATTTGTGAAAGAATTTATCAAAACAAAGAACTATGCAATTGAAGAATTGAACAATCTCTCCTCTTATCATTTCCCAAATAGGGAAATCCATTTATTATATATTTACTATTGACTTCATACACCAATCAGAACTTTATTCTAAATTTGTCTGATTCATTTGGTATGTTTTGTATAAATTGCACCTACATTTCGATAGAAACAACTCCCCAAATTGCATTATTTTCCACTGATCAAATTATTAAATTAAATTAATAGAAAAAAGAACTAAAATCAAACAGTGAAGAAAATACCGTTGGTATATTCTAAGAATTGTCATATAGTTTGATAATCGTATTTCAACGTTTGCGAAGTTTCGAAGTATCAATACGTAATTCTGTCTCCAAACTAACAAGATGTGTTTTTGAAATAACCTCTTTTACAATAAAACATATTATTTATTTTAATTTTTACAATTTTCATAACTTGATGTTTTTTCAATTTTTTATTTCATACTTATTTTTTCGTTTACATTTTTGTGTTGTTCTTTGTGTTATATTTTTTTAAAAAATTTCTTTGTATGCACTGAAGATGGGTCAAATCTGGACCCGAAACGTATGTTCTCTTAATTAAAACATTTTGCATTAAAACTATCAATACGTAATTCTGTCTCCAAACTAACAAGATGTGTTTTTGAAATAACCTTTTTTACAATAAAACATTATTTATTTTAATTTTTACAATTTTCATAACTTGATGTTTTTTCAATTTTTTATTTCATACTTATTTTTTCGTTTACATTTTTGTGTTGTTCTTTGTGTTATATTTTTTTAAAAAATTTCTTTGTATGCACTGAAGATGGGTCAAATCTGGACCCGAAACGTATGTTCTCTTAATTAAAACATTTTGCATTAAAACTGTTTTTTTAATTATTGGATGGATGCCCAAGAAACAATTTTTATCATATTATTTCACCATCTGAAGAAAAACCTCTCGCTTATATATATATATATATATATATATATATATATATATATAAAGAAAATAAGACTAAAGACTAAAGAAAATAATAAAAGACTATATTATATATATATATATATATATATATATATATATATATATAAATGGATTATGCACTTTTTCTTAAAAAAGGAAGCATAAAAAAACGTGTAACAATAAAAGAACAACAAATAAATTCAGAAGCAAAAATTATTTTGCCTGCAATATTGATTTATATATCCATATATTATCGTTACACATTTTTAAAAAAAAATGTGCATAATCCATTCTTTTATATTATAAAAATGTTTATTATTCTGTAATCATCATCATTAATATTGTTATTCTACATGTAAATATTGTTCTTGATAGAAAAACCTGATGATTAACGTATCTAGTTCCGAAACGTTGTAATTAAACATCTACAAAAAAACTTATTTTTTATATATTGGATTAATTCGAAAAAGAAACCCTTTTCAATATATATATATATATATATATATATATATATATATATATATATATATATATATATATATCTTGAATGTTGATGTTCAAATATTTTAATTAAGGATGATACACAATAGTGCAGTAGTTCAATAATTATTATGAGTATTTATAGATTGAGATATTCTATTCAATATATTCTTATATATTATCTAATTTAAAAAAAAAACTTCAAGATATTATTTAATATATTTATGACTAACTTAGTCTACTTGCATTTGTATACATTGCGCTGTAGCATGAATAGTTCTCATATACCGATATACTATTATTATGTATATTTTTTATTAATCTATTTTTTATTTATTTAGTGGTATTAATAATTAATATCAATAAATAATAATTAATAATTAATTAATAAGTAATAATTAATTGATAAATTATTAATGATGATTAAATCATATAATATACTTGTGCAATATATAAATAATATATATTTAATTATATAAAAATATAGTTATTATTATACATATACATATAAATATATAATTATTCAAAATATAAATGTATATATATTGTGTTTTATTAAAAATGTTTTAATTTATCAAGACGCGCGGCGAGCAATGCTGTTGCTTGTCGTTGCGAATGAGAGACGACTTACGCGGGTGCTACATACGAGTATATGAGCGCGAGCGTGTACTTGCTCAGGTTTTTTCTAATTTTGAATGTGTTCTACCACGTGAAATAAAACAAAATTTTGCACACTAAAAGAAAATTGAATAGCCGTTCTAATGATGCTAATTAAAAATTTGTCCAAACAACCGCACTACCTGAAAATTCAAAACGAAAAATTATTTTCACTTTTTCCTGCACTAAAAAATAATTACTAAACAATATTTGTTATTAAAAATATAGTAGACATCGATATGAATATAATCCCGTTATTTGTTTTTTGATATCTTTCACCGTTGCGACAAAAAACGACTTTGAAAAAAGGGGCCACTTTCACACATTTTCAATGATATCTCGGCCAAATGATGAGCTACGGATTTGAAATTTGGTATATCGGATTTTCTCAAAAATACCTATAAAATGGCATCAAAATTATTTAAATACCAGGGTGGGGCCAATTCTGTATGGAAACATGCCCATACCCTTTAAACTAAAGATTTGTGTAATGTAAGTTTTGAGCAAGAACCGAATGCACTCGATGAAAAAACACGAAGAAAAAAAAGAAAAAGAAATTTTCAAATGTTTTTCCTGATGTGGTGTGCATCAATTTTTTTCTTGTCATTTTATCTTTTAATCCATAATATATTTTAAATTTATTTTTTTATAACTTTGTAAAAATTCTTTAGATACTGTTTAAAAAAAATTCAAAAAGGGTTGCTGAATGATTGATTACACACAATCCGTGTCGAAACGTATAAATAAATATTTTATTATTTATTTTTCTTTTATTTCGACGATTGGCTGAAAATCAACATTCAAGATATGACTCAACGTCGAACAAAAAAATCTAAATCTTCATATATATATATATATATATATATATATATATATATATATATTAACAAAGTCTAATAATCGGGCATAACATCAATAAAAAACATGAATTTCTTTCAAAAATTTATTTTAAATCCATACGTTTCGGCTATAATCCTAGCCTTCATTCAGTGGAAACTAAAAATAAAATTAAAAACTAAAACAATTGAATTGGAGTGAAAAGAAAAAATAAAATAGTAATTAGTACTTACAATTAGTTGATCTTAGTGTTAATTTGGAAAACTTTAGTAATCTATGGTATTACGTATGGATTTAAAATAAATTTTTGAAAGAAATTCATGTTTTTTATTGATGTTATGCCCGATTATTAGACTTTGTTAATACATATGTCAACATCAAATTCAGAATCATACATATATATATATATATATATATATATATATATATATATATATATATATATAACATATATCTAATTCTTCTGTAATAGTGTATAAAAAGATAATCCTCCTAAACGATTATTCGGATTTTGATAAATCCGTCTGAAGTTTGTTAAGGAAATTTTTTAGGATTGTATGATTTATAGAAATATAGTTAGATTGTAGAAATAAATGGAATAAATTGCAAAAAAAACGGTTATCATTGATTGACATTGAAAATATTTGAGGCATTGTTTGACATTAAAAACAAATGAAGACTGTCATTTGCAAAAAATTTCTATTCACTTATATGCAATGACAATAATAAAATATAATATCTTCATGATGATGAATAAGAAAAATGCAGCAGAGATGTGCCAGAAATTAAAACAATATAAGATATTGTCAGCATGCGTTTGACAGGTGATGCAGTGATTGTCAGTGATTGCACATCAAACTAGCCTATAATTCAATTTGACAGATTATTAATTTTTTATTTTTTTAACTATTGCTGCCGTGTTTTGCCTTACTTTACTAAATCACAATACAAAAAAAATTACTTATTCAAAAAATTATATAGAAGTTTCATTGCGTCAAAAATTTATATGTTTGGCAGTGGATACGGAATATTTACTCAAGTCAATGAAGCGTTTTTTTACTGTGCTCCAATTCGTATGATATTTTGGGTTCATCTTACTCTCAAGTTCAAAAGTGAAAAATTTAGACTCCTTTGCCACTTCCCGGGAGATGACATTCCTTTCAATGGTATAATTTTATTTTTTTATCAAAACAACGTCGGATATCGATAAAAGAACTAACTATAAGAGAAAAAA